ATCTGGCAGACTGTGAGGCATTAATGAGTGGATTTGTGTTTATATTCAGACCTTCTTACCATGGGATGCTGCGTGAAAAAGACCAGCATGCAAACTCAACTGCTGTTGAGTAAACAGTCATTACCCAAGCCCTTCAATTTGCTGCTTTATCACCTCTCCTGGACTTAAGCTTAATGTCTTTATAATGAAACCCAGATGCAGAGAGAAAAGTGGCGGAGCAAAAAGAAAGGAGAGAGGAACTCTGAGGAGGTAATGGGACTGGAGTTATCACCACTCAACTTCTTCCTCACCCATGGGAGCATCGTCTGTGTGTGTTTAACTGAGAGCATGTGTGCGCACATGTACTCCTCTTCTTTGTTTTTTAGCTCCATCAAAGGATATTCTGGTGGTTTTGTCTCTAAATTCACAGAAAATAATTCAGTAAATGTGAAAGATGTAGGCTTGGAGTTCAATGTCTTTAAAAGCAAACTGAATTTGAAATTATTTTTTTGCTAAGAAGGATTTTCATTCAGTACACAAACACACACACATATATATATATATATATATATAGCCGGTAGAGTATATATATGTAATTGTTTTTTCGCACTTAATGGTGAATAGAAAATCTTTTTGACCACATTTTACAGACTTATGGATACGCTAGCAAGGTGTTGGAAAAGTCAAGCACCTGGAATAGTTTCAAAATCTGGGTAGATGACCCTTGGCACAAATCTACCATGAGCTTGACATAAAACCTGAAAACTGTAAGTAACAGCTTAAGCATCCTGCAGAATGGCTAAATGTAAAGTTATTCTTGGTGCAAAGATGTCCACTTCTAGTCCTCGTCTCTCATTACCGGCAAAGCTTCGATTAAACACGGATATATCTTACTGAAGTGTAAATGACTCAAAACTGAAATTGGCAACAGCGCTAGATCTTGTTACGCTAATGTGTGTTCAAGTGTTAGTTTTTCTGGTAAGTTTAGTTTTACTTAGTTATTTCATAGTAGAAAAAGGAGGTCTGACATCATAATTGACAGCTGTGTGTGTGTCAATTAGTGTGCTCATGATCAACAGTGCTGCACACAATTGGACAGACGCATGTACTGGTGGTAACCTTGGCTCCACTTCCCTACTGCTACTGCACAGGCTCTGGCTTCAAATGATGTCACCAACACAAAATGGCAACAATGTGTTGCTGTCAACTGGACCCAAGACAGACAGCTAACGCTAGCTAGACCCCTCCTTTCCATCACGCAGTATGAACACAACATTAAGTGTGCAGGACTGTGTCGAAATAACACAAACAAAAAGTGATTTCTTGAGGGAATCAGTGCTAACCTTAGCAAGCTATGCTACCTAGAATCAGCCCAGTTATCCTTGCTTGCTAGCTTACACTTTCTACAGCAGGACAGTTCACCTGAAAGCCAATACTATAAAAAGTGAAAATAAACATTTGTATCAACGTCCATGTGTACGATACGACCTCGTCCTGTCAGTAGTGCACCACAGATATTGATAGTGTGTCTTCTAGCAACACCGACTCTCAGATGTCAGTCCACCGCTGCCAAGGGAAACGCCCACCCAGAAGCTGTTTCCGCAAATATGTCCAAAAACAACCTTATCCTCTTTTGAAAAAAATGCAGAAATGTGCAAAGTAGCCGCAACATTATAGTTTATTTTTTCTTGTGTAAAAGCTTTAAGGGTGAAATATGGACAACACTGCTTCCAGCAGGGGGGTGGTTTGGCATATCTATGGAGAGCTTTACTGATTTATTGTGGCATCTTATTGCTTAATGTCAGATGGTAGACATCAACAAACCTAAACAGACCATCTACAACATGGATGTTCAGATTTTAATATTTGCCAGTGTTCAAAATTTACACAACTCAGATGGAAACCTGTAAGTAGGGCGCTCACATACTGTGTAAGTATATTTCCTCTCTGTAGGCATCTATAGCTCTCTTTGTCTTAATGTCATTCAGTGACCTGTGCATCCCTCTGTTCCCGTTTTATATAAACTGCCTCCGAGACCCTGAGAGATGTACAAGTTTCATCTTTTATTTTTGTTATTAAAAGGAGCAGAGTTTTGACCCTGGGAGAGACAGTGCTGGCAGCTCTCCACAGGCCTTGGCTTTGGCACTCACTAATATTTCACATTCATAACACTTTCGAGGCTAAACTTATAGGGAGTAAAAGACTCACAAATCATGAACCCATACTGTCGAAGAAATAGCTCCTGAGTCAGAAGAATAATATTAGGTACAAATGTAATGCAAATAGGTTTTGTGAGAATCCATCCATCAGAAAGCAGACATTTATACAAGTATAAACAAGTATAAATATAGTTTATATAAGTTTTATCCTGCCCTTTATAAGCTTAGTAAGCAGGATTCAAAACAGCCCTGCAAGATCTTAACTATTGCTGCTGATACTTTACATCCTTGCAGCTGTATTTTAAAAATGTCTTGCTATATTAACCCCTGTAACTCTCTGCATCTCTTAATGTGCATCCATCTCGTTGGATTCCCAAACAACTACAGGTTTGTCTGTTTTGTTCTTCAAAGCAGTTTAACACGGTAATAGTCACTCGCAGCGCTGCAATGCTAATGCTGAAATGGGAACCTCATGTGCATTCTTTGGAAAAAGAAATAAGGGCTCAAATGAGAGGTGTTAAAATTTCTCTAATTGTATTTTCCTCTTGGAGGTGTTTCATCTACGCAAAAGTAGGCCATTAGATCCAAAGAGAATGGTTGAGCTGCTGGATAATGGGGATGAAAATAACGCTTTCCACAAGACTACAATGTTTACTACTAGTAGACTCTATTTCACAAAGTCAATGTCCTCTATTAATGGCTTTATTGGTTTATCCACTCATCGTTTCTCTATACACCGAGGCCCTGTTCACACATAATTTTAAAAACAGGTATTTTTTTCTACATTTTGGCCTCTATTCACACGCCAACAGAGTTTCAGGTCACTAAAACTGAGATCTTTTTAGAACGCCTTTCAAAGCCCTGTACAGACCAATAATTCGCCACAAGACCAAACCGTTTTAGAACACTGCAGAGAAAAGTTGCAGCGGTGTGAACAGGCCGTCTGAGCTCGACTCAAGCTGGCTGATGGCGTCACCTGCAACTCAGCTGGTCAAATCACCAACGGCTGGTTTTGGAACATAAAGATCGTCACCTGTTTCTACAGCCAATCGGCTTGTAGTGAAGTCTGCTGGTCAAATCAAACTGACCGCAGACGGCTTGTTTGCTTGCTGCAGCAGGTGCTCTGTCCCTACTGACCCCTCTGTTTCCAGCCTGAAAAGCTGCAAACAGAGCGGAGGTACAGAGAGTTGTTGACTAGAGATGATACACTGTCTCATCTAGTTGCATTGTTGAGAACTGGTAGCCTGGAAATCCAGACCCAAGTCTAGAAAGATTTAGGGTCTGGCCACGAGTAATGAAAATAGCCCAACTCCTGGGGCAGCACCAAGCATGCATTTGTAAATATCACAGGATAACACTACTACCAATCAGAACAATACACAGGGTGACGTATCCAGAGCTTAGCTACCAGTGGAGCTAACTGGTAGATTAGACTCTTGCCATATCCGGTCGGCAAAACAACAAAAACGTCCTTCTTGCAAAGTAAAGACTCGAGCGCCGTCTTCTGTTCCTCTTTTAGAGAAAAAGCCAAGTCTAACTCACTCATTTTAGCGGCCAAAGCCGTTTCAAACAACTGGTGCTCATCTGTAGCCATCTTGCAATGTTTACTGACTGATTCCGGACTTTGTCGTCGCAGCGCTGTCGTCATCTGTTTAGCTTGCCTCTGGCCCGCCTATATCAGATACACCGATGTGATTGGTGCAGCTCGGCTACAAGGGCATGGGTAATGAGCATTATTACTGATTGCCAGAGTGACTCGCTGAGCAAATTCAAATTGTGCTCTCGCGAGAACTCTGGATTTCCAGGGTAGTGAACTGGTAGGTTTTAAGAACATCGCAAAACAGTGCATTGCGAGTAGTTGCGTGTTTCAACTCGTCTCATCGTGGTTCTTTGGTCTGAACTGGGCTTGAACAGGTGCAGATTTTTCAGAACATGGTAACGATGACATAATTTCCTCAATGCGCGCATGCATATTCTTGCTTTGTGTAATGAGCATACAACAGAAACAACAACATCACTGGCCGACTACCAGTTTTCTAAAGTTTTGTTAGCAATGCTTTGTCTAATGTCTACGTTACACTTAAACTTAGGTTTGTTGTGCCACTCCATGGATGAACGGAGGCCCAATGCTTTTGCTCCACCAAGTCATCCAGAAGCAGTGGTTATGGATCAGGCCGGTCGAACCAGCAAAATGTGGGAGAGTTTCCAGAGTGGGATTGTTGTCAATGAGGACTAGAGAGAAAACTTAAGCATGTCCGGAGCATCACTCGCGTTCCATTATCCTTAAATTGAACAGTAATCAGCGGCTATGAGATCTCTAGTAGGTGTTTTGAAGAAGGTAACGTTAACCTGTGAACACTGCTACCTTTGTGACGGGGGATACTGCTGAAGACAGCTAACTTATTTTTGCTTTCTAGAGCAGTAAAGGTCATATGGACAGAATTATTTTGCAAAATGCAGGGGAAAAGTATCTGTTTCATAAAATATCTGTATACGTGTACACTGGGCCTGACACACCAAGTTTGCAACATGTCCAAAACAAACCTTTAGGAACATTTTGCACACGCCAATTATGCACCTTATTCCCAATTCAGGATTTTGTTTAAGTTTTCCATCATTATCATGTTGTGAGCTCAACGACATGTTGAACTATGGAGACCAGAGGGGGAGATTGGAAGAGTCAGCAAATGGGAGGCTTATTCCTGGAGTCCACATCCCTTGAGTTCATTGGGCTACACTGGCTAATGTATAACACTGTGGAAAATGGGGGAAAGGGCCAAGTGAAAAAAAGAAACTTGCTTCTCTGTTGAGTGTAGGTGTGCGTTAAGTTGTCAAAAGTTGTTCTTTTCTTAGAAAGCTCACCCTTCTTGCCAGGCCCAGGGCGATGTAGCACTTCTCCCCAGCATCAACGATCTCCACCTCATAGTAGTGGCAGCGGGTGGTGAGTGGCTGGCGGGCCTGGGCCAAACCCACGTCCATGATGCTCTTTCCTTTGCCAACATACTCCAAGAGCTGAAGAAGGGAATACACAGAGGTGAGAGATAGACAGAGGGATTAATATGTAAAGAAACAAACAATAAAAAGGGTCTAATTAAACACAAGCATGTTGAGATACAGACTCACATTCCAACATGAGTTACTGACCAATAAACTCCAACCATCACTCCTGGACTGCTTTCCAAAACCAAACCAATAAGCTCTCCCACTTCAGACAACGATTGGCCAAATGTCCAGAGGTTAGTAAATAAACAGGATTTGAACTTCTCTCTAAAGCTCTCCCTTCAGCAGCCACCAAGCAGCATGTTTCTAGGGATGGCAGCGTGTATCGGTCCACCGCTGTGGTCCAGACTAAAATATCTCAAAAACTATAGGCTGCATTGCATTTGAATTTTGTGCAGACATTCGTGGTTTTATGATGAAGCCTACTGACTTTGGTGATCCCAAATTTTGCTCTAGCGCTACCCGACATGTTAAATATCAGTAAAATGGTCTGACAACGATTAGATGGATTGCTATCAAAATTTGATACGGATATTATTAGAGTCAAGAAGCTAAAGCCCACTGACATTGTTTATCCTCTGGCCTGTGGTTGCTACTGAGTCAGTCAATCTTTTTTATTTTGAGCCAATATTTGTTAACATTTTGGCAAATTTGCAACATTAAAAGCATGCCAAATTAGAAATTCCTGTTTCCATTGTACCCATGGATGTACAGATACCTATCACTGGATTGATACTGAAAAAAAAGAAAACTATGATTTTAAGGCAAGTACTGAAGTTATAATGTCTATTTTTTGTATGATTTCTGAGTTTAAAAATGCACAGCAGACTTAATGATATCCTTGGAAAGTGCGAGTCCCACTGAATCTAAAAATGTGTGTATCATTTTGACGCCAACTGAATAGCATAAAAGTGTCTTGTCCCTATGATGACAGGGTTTTTACCCCATCTTTAAGAGAGGCCATTCATTTGTTTTGGCCCCAAAAAGTTTGAAGAAAGGCTTTGCTAAAGCAACATGCTTGTTAATTCCAACTTGTTAGAGGCATTACTGTGCACTTAACACTGAATCAGGACCCTGTTCCTATTGAAATCCAGAGTTCCCACAGATGCATTTATTTGTGGTGGCCCACCACAATATCAACATTCACTGCCACATACCGACTTTCTATTTTTGGAGCTGATGGAGCTGCAGAGCACCAGGCACAGTGAAAGTGACATATAAGAGGTCATTAATTCATATAGAAATAGATAAATTACAACAGTAATCTCATTTTCGTGTAACAATTGTTTTTCCAACTCACTTTAGATGAAACCAGCTGTGCTCCCAGGCAAAATGTGCACCCTGAGGTCTAGGGCTGGGTCTAACCTATGTAATGGCAGCAACAGAAAGTTTGCCGATCCACCCCCCCATCAGCTATCGCCACATATAGACTTTAATTCTGTGGACACTGAAATCTGCTCACATCTCGATGCTAAGCTTCCTCTTTCTTTTAGCAATGACTGATGATTTAGTGCTATTCTTTTTTAACTGTGCTCAGAAGGATCTATGTCTCCTTCTTCCCTGTCAATTGTCAGTGTGGTTGAGCCATTGCACAGCGCTTTGTTCTCCATGTCTACAACAAACCCTTCATACAATATAACATCTGTTGTAAAGACAACTTTCGACAACACTCAGAAATATTGTCAGCCATCGAGCTTTTGTGGCAGGCGATTCCAAACTTTTTAACAGAAGTGTGCCCCTGTAAGTTTCTCATTAAACCCAGTTACTGCTGTTATTTAATTTTCTGAACTTCCTTTGTTTAGCTTATTTGGTTAGTCAGGAGACCAGGCCAAAAGGTACGGCAATGATGCAAGTCTTTGTAAGTGGGAAAGTTGAGATGGAGACAAAAGATTGAAGACACAGCAGATCAAGCTTGGGCAGGATCCTCGGCCCAATGTTGTTCCAGAGGTGACTTAACCACACAACCAGCTTTTGCAACTATGTCCTAAGTAAGTGGGCACCATGACAGATTCAGGCTTCCAAACCCAGTCAAACCTTCACTGAACCGCCCACGGTGACTCTCCTACAAGTATCAACAGCCATTTGAGATTGCATGTGCAGTACCTGCTGATAAAGCAATTACTTTCAGGTCTATTTCGGTCTTAAGGATCCAAACAGGTGAAGATGGGCGGGTACAGGTGAGTAGGTGGGCAGCTAGGCAACCACAAAGCCTTTAGGCTGAGCAGTGTTTCCATGCCATCTGAGTGCATGTGTTTGTGAATGCGTGAGCATGTGTGCAATGACGAATACGCCCCCAGTTTGAAAGGTTAGCATGACAGACAAGCTGGGGGTGGACAATATTACTTCAGTATTAAGCCTTTGTGTTTGCATTTGTGTGTGTGTGTGTGTGTGTGTGTGTGTGATTCACTTGCCAGCCACTTGAAGGACATACTTGGTGGGAACAGCTATTCAACATCTATGTCAAAAAAAGTCTCTCAATTAAGTTATTACCATTTTCCCTTTTTGTTATTTCCCCTGTTGCTTAGTGATACATCGAACTGAAAATAACTCAGTAATGAAGCTGAGGCGGTCAAAAAGTTTAATTTCACTCTTTCGGCTTGATGGTAGATTAAACTGTTTGCTGAGAACACTATTTATAAAGTTTGTGTGCAGCTGTAAATGATACAAGCTTGAGTTAAATGCCAACAAAAACAGAAGAGGTGGTTGGAAACAGCACTGTTTTTGTAACTCTGAAAAGTTGCATCATATGTTCATGTTCAGGATCATTATCAGTAACATGTCATATTATTATCACTTTTTATATTTATTTAAGTTGATGTATCAATATTATGTTTATAATTACCCTTTTATTTCACAAGTACATTTGTACATCTGTACATGTGTATATTTCATCTTTCTTTTAAATTTAGTTTTTGATGCATAAGAGGAAATGTTTACGTGTCTAACATGTTGCAGTTGCACTGTAAACTGAGCACATTTTTTTATATAATAAAACAAATCTTTACAAAAACAAATTCCATCAAAAATTCAGCACTGTATCAATGGCAACAACCACTAATGCACTGTTACACGAGCACTGTCTTTTTGTCCATATTAAACAATCAGAAGCTTTTTTTGTATTGTTTTATATTGTATTGAACATTATTCCAGATTTTAGTTGTCAATGACTGTCCATCAAACTTATAACCTATATTTATTTTTCAGGTTGTTAATGTTAATGGACATCATTAAGAAAAAAACAAAACAAAAAAAAATGGGCCTGGGAAATACCATGTCATTCCTGATCTCTCCCTCCCCTCTTTAAGTGGTCTCTCTCTACGGTGGACTATTAATAAAGGCAAAAGAAAATGCCAAAAATATTACAAAAACAATAAACAAAGTGGAGATCCAATCAAAATACACTGCTCCATACAGATGGACAAAAACTCAACATGATGCCTTTGAGAAAACATTTTACTGGCATCAAACAGCAGCTAAACTGAAGGTTTCTCGGGGAGTACATATAGGATTGTTTAAATTAACTTAACTCCAATCTCAGAACTCATCAGCTATTGTATGACAACAATAAAGCCTCAGTAAGGCCAATATTTTAGGCTGATCCAGTGTAGCTAGCGAATATCCAGTCCAAGACCTCCTCTTCCATGTGCCGGTCATTTCAGCTAATCTCTCTGAACAGACATCTGGATATGAATAAAGATAAATTCTAAAAAGGCTGATATAAAGCTAACTCATCAATAGGCAACTGACCTGCCACTAAACCCCGCACCTTTGTGATGGTATGACAAGCTGTCAGAGTAAGCATGGAGCCCACACTGTAACCAACTGCACTCCCTGAAGAAATATGATCATATTTTTGGACAAATTAAAGAGTGATTCCAGAGAGAAGCAGACAGAGAGGTCTACAGTCTGTGTTTGAAGGATATATCCCGGATGTCAAACTGACTCAGCAGCAACAACAGGTTAAAAAGACAAAGATAGTTAGAAGCTAAAGCTGAACTATAGACTACAGATCACAGTGTAAAAGTGAACCACCACATCACTGCTGATCGCCACACAAGACAATGAATATAAAGGAAAACTTCACTGATATTGAACCAGCTGTGTGGCATCGCAGTGTGTGCAGATGAACAGTGTTTGGCTTCACCCACAAACAACGCTGCTTCCCTTCACTGGTTCCTGTACAGCAGGGTCAGTATTTTTTTCACTGTTATAATCATTAAAAAGCAAAAGCAGCATGTGTATACATTCAGTAGGCTATATCTTCAGTAGCTAGCTAACCTACACTTTTCAGGGTTTGATTTTGGTTTTGGAACAGGGAAGAAACGTATATCTTTTTCCAACCTCTCCAGGTAACAAGTGTCATTAATACACGATGTGCCCCAGGCACAACATTTAGCTCCAAATCCACAAAACCAGCCTGAAAATGAAGGAAATCTGAAACGACTGCATTAGAGTCAATGGAGCACTGCTGTGTTGTTGTTTGAACCTGGTCTGAGTCGACTCGATGCTACGTTATGATTGGCCAGTCTGTGTCCAGGGGTGGGACTTAGCGAAGGGCCTGATGGGTTAAAAGTTTGCATTTCAGTCAATGCATTCAACCTCTCCACATGAATTGTTTACCTGCCATTCAAACATAATTGGTCAATACTACTTGGAATACAAACAGAAACCACAACGCTGCTGATAGCAAATTCTTCTCCTGTCATTATATGCATGTATAAGTGCAGAATCTGTTTATAGAGATTAAGTAAACTCTATCTTTCAGAAATAAAGGGCAGGCAGGCGATGTGAGGTGATCACACCATATAAAAAAATGGTCCTGGGTTGGAGTTAAAGGGTTATTAAACTCAAGACTTTGTCTACGGTTACGTAATTCTATCAGCTACCAGTTGTCCGTCTGGCAGCATCAAATGGCAGAATAATTGTCACAAATGGGCCTTGACCACAGAATATAAACACTGAAAATGCTGATAGACTAAAAGCAAAAGTAATTTTGTTAAACTTTTGTGGTT